ATCCTTCGCTGCTGATGATGTGTGTGTGTGTGGGTGTCATGTGTGTTTGTCGTGTGTGCGCATCTGATGACCAAAAAGTCTTTTTGTTTTTCACATCTCATGAAAAAACACGGTTTTGAAGCAAAACGGGCACACCACTGAGCAAAAACCTCACAAAACATGTAAGTTCAACAAATTTTAACACGAAGCGGCGCAACACTCAGGCTCAGGACAAAACTTAAGTCTAGCAAAGCCGGCTCACCGCTGAATAACAAAAACGACGTCACAAAAAAGTATGTTCCACACTCCATTCACAAAAACGTCGGGGGCAGGCTTTTTTTTGCTGACCTTCTGGAGCTTTTCATACTCTTGTCTTCCTGAGGACTTCATCCTGTAGTGGGGTCCTTGGTCCTCGACGTCGTCGTCATAGACGCTCCAAAGTTCGTCATCAGCACCCTTAACGACACAGCCACGAATGGGTTTGCTGCTGCCACCAGGTTCATCATCCTCAGCCATTTAGATTTTCAAAACCTATTTAATCACAAAAAATAAGTCAAGGCACTCGTCCTCGTGGGCGCCCCCATTCTTCCTCCACAATGTTGTTTTGCCGGTCCCATCCCAATTGCTTCAACCTTAAGCGGCATCGTCTTGTCAAAATTGAAATTTGCAAAATTGAAACATCTTATTTCGACTAATTGGCAACATCCAAGCGGCTCGTAACCCCACCAATTAGTCGTCCTCCATCGTCTGATGTAGGTTTCGTTGATCACGTGCTTCGTCACTGGCGCCGTCATGGCTGGAGTCCAAGTTACAGCGGTAAGTCCGATGAGCTACAGCGGGCACAGCCTTGAACCTCTAATTTCAGAGCCGGCCCCACGTTTAACAAAAACGACTCACACGAAAACAGCTGCAAGCCCGTCCAATGATAACAAAATATCATTCAAAACCCGACACAAAACAGCTGCAAACTGCTCCATGATTTTCATGCAAACCTGGCTTAGTTTGTCATGGTTTATTTGTCATGCAACATTGACATCACTGACGGCCAAATGCTGTGTGTGTGTGCGTGCCTGTGTGTGTCAGTGTGTTTGTGTGTAGTTTGTGTCAGCAGCGAAGGAAATAGAACAGTTTAACTTCCGGACTATCGCCTTTAAATGAAAATCATCGGAAGTGCAAAATTTGAACATATTTTATTCAAACATTGGACTACTTGACTGACATTGACAGACGGGCGATTAAATAGTATCCACAAGCGCTGTCATGGTTTTGCCCCGGAAGACTCAAGGGAAACCAGGGCAACCACTAAACAGAGGCAAGCAGCTGTCGGCCAAAACAAAAGCTGAAGAGCGTAAATACCCCACAGCGCTAATAGACAAAGAACGCTCAAGCGACGACACCGTATGATGTTGCGTGCGTAAGTTCATGCGGCCCCTGAATGCTGGCACTTCATTGTCAGAAGCGGCGCTTGGTCGCCCTTCAATGCTGCAAGCGGCAGTTTGTTACCCTTCACTGTTAGAAGCGGCGGTTGTTATCACTTCACTGTCAGAAGCGGGCACCAGCACCGAGCACCGGCACGCCAGCTCACGGCGCCCAGCACCAACACCAGCACCCAGCCCAGACCCAGCGCCCACCACCCTGTGTCCACCATGCACGCAGCAGTCTTCACCACGCGCACTGCCAGCTCACACCACCGGCACCGGCGCCCGGTGTCTCCACCACGCACACTGCCAGCGCCCAGCACCGGCACCGTGTCTCCACCACGCGCACAGCCAGCTCACAGCACTCAGCACCAGCACCCAGCACTGTCTCGAAAGCGTGCGCAGCCAGCTCATTGTCGTTTGAAATAATTATAGGACCGGATAACCCCACATGGGAACAACTTCGAAAGATTGAAGCTGCAGACATAAAGTGCTGAAGAGTGAGCATGGGGAAGAGACAGGCGAGACAAATAGAATGCGTAAGGGTCGGTGTGTGTAGGTGAGGTGCGCGTTTGATTGTGGGTGCTTGTCCGTGAGTGTGTATGAGTGTGTGGGTGGATGTATGCTGTATGACGCTTGTGTGCATGTAGGTGTTTGTAAGGTGTGTGTTTGTGTGTATGTGTCTGTTCATCAGGGTGTATCGTGTGTATCCGTTTGTGTGTATCTCGTCAGAGAGTCGGTCGTCGGAGACGAACTGGTCCAAGTGTCCTGAGCAGGAAGATGCAATGCATACTGGTCATATCGATTCATATGGTTGACTCATACGGTTGACTCTACGTAGCTTTGAGCTCCCGCGAACGAGCGCAGGCAACGACCTCGGAGGCGACTAGAGAAGACAAGATCCCAAATGCACCGAAGGACACCAGGTGTACAAACCACGAAAATTATCTGCAGGCGGAAGCATGTTTTTCTTGCAACACGTACTTATCCCATGGTCATCTAGTGACGGCCATCACGCTGTTGAAAAAACATGTCTGAAATCGGCAAGTCGCATCAATCAGACAGAAGCAAAATTATACACAGATTCCAAAGTTTCATCTCTTCCTTCTGTAGCGATGGCCGTGGCGCCTTCCATAGACGCATCTGAAAGCTGCAAGTCGCATCAATCAGAAAGAAGGCGTGAGCACATCCACATCATCCAACAGTAACAGGTCATGCCAATCGAAGACATACATTTCAAACATGCTTGGGATCATATCACCAAAACGAACGATGTGCGCTCACGGTCTGTCTATGCATCTGAAATCAGCAAGACGCCTCAATCAGAAAGAAGGCGTGAGCACATCTACGTCAT